TTAAAATATGTATCAACAAGTTATAATATATTTAATATGATTCATTATAATGTTTATACCCTACCTCGAACACAATTACGAAAATAGCAATTTTCCAACATGCAAATGGCTTGCTCTCGATCAGCGCTAAAACCAAATGTTTTTAGGATAGACAAAAACGAACCAGGAACCTGTATGCAATATTTTAAGCAATTACAGAACATAATAAGACAGAATGATAATCAGAACAGATAAGACAGAATGATAATGTTTGAAAGGAAAAACCTACGATTGAAAGAATAAAATAAAAAATTCCAATTCCAAACTCGAGACAATCCTCAATATCAGGATCGACTTTTATTGAGTTGACAGTGTCATGTACACCTGATTTCTCCTGTGTAGGGACACCGAATTTAACCATATTGGATATTCCCATAAAACCCCATAGATTACCATTATTATTATTTGAACTATTAGGTTCCTTTTTATGCGTATTTTTATTTAATTCGCCTTTAATTCGATCAACTTCATCTTTAACTTTGGAATAAAGTTTCCATGCTCTATGTAAATTTAATGCTCCTTTAATCTCGTTACCTCCAATAACTTGCAAAACAGACCGGAAAAGTAGAATATCAGCCATCGCCAACTCGCAATCCCATCTATAATTTAAACGAAGAGAAGCCAATTCGGCTTCATCTTCGCTAGGTGTATTTGCTGGCTTTATATCAGTTTTCCAAACATCTTTTATGAACATAGCAAGTGTTGTTTCCTATAAATTGATGGTATCATACTGAGAAATTAGCTAGAATCTTTAAGATCACAGAGATTACATGTTAATATATACTTTTACTTACAAAATCATCCTTGTGCTCACAAACCTTGTTAGCTAACTTTTCGGCCTCGCTTAGTGAATTTGTTAACTCTGGATCCTGATACTCTGCAGCTTGCCCGGTCATTAGATGTTTAACTAATTGCACTTCAGCAAAAGCAACGCTCCATCTTGGAATTCCATCTTTACGTCTCATCAATATTTCTTCTGCCTCAATAAATTCATTATTCCAACTTTTCTTTACTGCTAAACTAAATTTGCCAGACAAAATAGTTTCTCTTTGATTAATATCATCGTAAGAACAATTATCGCTCGTTTGATCCATGACTTTTGTCTTCTCTGATATATTTTCACTACTTAACTCAGCAGCTGGATTTATAAATAAATTTTGCAATGAATTTGAAGGTTCACGCGAATGCGTAGATTTTACACAAATAGGCGAATCAAGAACGGTGTTTTTGACGACAGGATGTAATGAATTCTGGTGAGATTTGGATAATTCCTCTTTAATTGGAGGCAAAGACGGGTTTGTAATCTCAGGAGACGTTTGTCGATTATAAGCATTTTGATTATTAACATTTTTTTGTTCATCACGAATATTTTCAGATCCTAAATTTGTGAATTCTTCGACATTAACATCATTCTTGGCATTCTTAGCATTTTGTATGACATCATGATCATCACTTGACGCCGTAATTGGCGTACTAATCGCTAATGGTGACGAAAATTTCGGCGTAAAAGAATTATGATTTATTTGAGGTAAGTTATTTTCAAGACTTTTGGATAGTGGAGATTTTGAACTTGCTTCTGAAGATTCTGAAAATGGTATATTTTCATCATTTGCACATGTGTGTGATGAATTAATAGTAGATACATCAAAATACGAATCCACCTTTGTAGCTTGCGCATTTTGTGATTTTGCGTTGAAAGCCATTGTTAACAAACTGGTTCTTGGTGACAAGAGAGGCACAGAATTACCATTCGAAACCATCGCACCAAATTTAAAAGATTCGTTGCTTTTCTCAATACTAAGCATGTTTTCATTGTGATTAAAATTGTGAGGCATTAAATTATCTAAAGACAGGTTCTTAGAGGCGGTTTTAAATTCATCACTTGCAAACTCTTTAGAATGTGAGCTTTCTATATTAATTTTTTTCCTTTTCAGAGCAGACCATTTCCTATTACCCAGAGCAGACCATTTACTATTACCAACCGGTGCACTTCCAACAATTTCTGCGTTCGCGTGTCTATTTGAAAAATCATCATAATCATCACCCATTTCACTAAGATATTTTACAAATTTTTTGCGACGGACGCTGGTAATTCATCGGAAGAGGTATCATTAAAGGTATAGAATTATGTCAATTTCTTATTTTTAGAAATTTGATCTAGCCTTATATAGCGTTACCCGACCCCAAAAACTGATACATGAGCGTTACACTACTTGGAATACGTCGTGAGAATTACAAGTGACATAACATCGCCTGGTTGAGATCCTTGGAAGGAGAGTCATAAATAAGTCTCTGGGCTCTACCAATTGACCTGCTATCCCTAAAAACATACCGATGGACTAATCAGCTTGTTAAAACTGGTAAACTAAAGCAAAAGAAACGTCCCTGCTCGCCCCCCAAAAAAATAGCCTACACTAAGACGCCTTGGTCGAATTGAAGAATACATACAGAGACATGATCGGCAAAGGTAATCCTTTTAAATTTTTGAACTTTTTTTAGTAAAAATTATCTATTTTAATTTTATAATTTATAAAAAAATATTTATCAAATTGATTGGATAATCGTTGAGAAAACTTCAAAGTTTAAAAAAAGTTTAAGAATCAACAAAAAAATCATAATGAACCTTCTTTAAATGGAGATTTCCCGATGATTACCTAATCAAATTCTATCGATTTTAGAACTAAAATAAGAATCTTTAAAGTTTTAAACACAATTTACCACAGTTTCTTTTTTATAGATATTAAAAATTAAACGATATTTTCTCGACGACCACCTTCAATAAATCTATCAAATTGGATAAACATTTAGTCTGGCGAATACTTATTTGCGCTCGTAACACAAACCTTATTTGGCAATATATGTACAGTTACGTATTGTAAAATCGCAGGTCTCAAAAAAATTAGATCTTTCGCTAATTATGTATGCATAAATCTAGATTTAGATCAAAGGACTATTCTACGTAATATTATTTCAAACCTAATTCGTAATATTATTTCAACCCTAATTCGTAAAAGTCTTTGAATATGTGCATAAATTTAGATTTTTACCATAAATCTAGATTTATATCAAAGTGCTACTCTAATATTATTTCAAATTTAATTCGTAAGTTTACTTCGACGGGAGCTTGCAATATGATAATGCAGCAAAGAAAGCTATAATTATAATAAAACATATTGATAATTTAATACGTACGTAATTGTAGATAGTAGGTGATCTTTTGCAAAAACATAAGGCTTTTTTTAAAAGAATAACCTTGACAACATAGCCATTTGCAAAGTGCAATTAAAATTAGTGATTTTTATCTTACTTCACATATTTGTTACGTGCCATAGAGTACTTTCAATATAATCAACATATGGGTTTTTATATAAGCAGATAGGATTTTTTTAATAACTAATATAATTAAAACGTATCTAAAATACCCATATAAAGATTATCTTTTTTGTTTCTTAATAACTATATATGGTGGAAATTTTATTCTCTGATTTTTATCTATCCAATTCTCTTTAAGTAATCTTTCTAGTTTATAAATATTTTTTAAAATTCTTAAAAACTTATTACAAACAATTTGTAAATAATTAATATCAAAATTTTGTATTATTTGCTGGATATTATGATAAAGTTCTTCAATAGTAGATTATAATCACAGTTTTTTGTTGTTGTTGTCAATTAGAAGGTTTAGAATTTTTAAACAAAAAAAAGTAGCCAATATTTTTGTAAACCAATTAAACTCGGATAGAAATAGTCTTTTTAGTTAAAATTAATAATATATATGTGTTTATAAGGTGGTTAATATACAGTATATAAGAATTGTTATTTTAGCTGATGATATTTTAAAATTTTTTACAATATTTTATGTCTTGTTTAGTTATTTATTATTATTAGTTTTTAAAATATTATTTATTGTCATAGATTAAAATGAAATCTGATCAAAATGAAATTTTTCTGTTTTTTAAAAAAATTTAAAATTTTTTGTATAATATTTTTTGGGGTTCTTTTTAGCATTAGAGTAGGGTTTAGGGTTAGGTTTATTAATAAATAAATATATGTGGGTTTTATAGGCTCCAAGGGTAGGCATGAAAAGTCTTCAGTTTTATTTTGATCAGATTTCATTTTAATCTGCAACATTTATTAAAGCCTGTATTTTTATTTTTTTTATTTTTATTTTTTTTTTTTTCCACTTAGGCCATCTTGCCTTTAATCTCCTTTATTACTTTTCGGTTTGTGGGTATACAAATAGGCTTACGC